CTATGAATTAAGAATCACCTTGATGGCACTTAACTTGTTCTTGTTGTTGTTAGGTGCCATCGAGTTGGTTCCAACTCATTGCTACCTTATGCACCACAGAACAAAACACTGCCTGGTCCTGTGCAAACCTCACAATTGTTGTTATGCTTGAGACCATTGCTGCTGCCACTGTGCCAGTCCATCGCCATGGGGATCTCTCTCTTTTTTGCTGATCCTCCATATTACCAAGCATGAGGTCTTTCTCCTAGGACTGGGCGAAATATTGAATGATGTAAAAAAAAAAAAAGTCAAAAGAAAATAGAAGAAATACACGGAGTCACTGTATCAGAAAGAAATGGTTACTGTTCAGCCATTTCAAGAGGTACCATACGATCAAGAACTGATGGTATTGAAGGAAGAAGTCCAAACTGCATTGGAAGCATTTGTAAAATTAAATTTAAAAAAAAGAGAAAGTGTCCAGGAGTTGACAGAATACAAATTGAAATGTTTCAGCAAACTGATAACAGCACTGGAGGCACTCATTTATGCCAAGAAATTTGGAAGACAGCTCTGATCCACCTATTGGAAAAGATCCATATTTGTGCCAATTCCAAAAAGAGGTGACCCAATAGAATGGGAATCATCAAACAATATTTTTAGTAAAATTTTGCTGAAGGTGTAATTCAAAAATGGCTGCAACAGTACGTCCACAGGGAACTGCCCAGAATTCAAACCAGATTCAGAAGAGAACATGGAATGAGGTGTCATTTCTGACATCAGCTGGATCTTGGCTGCAAGCAGAGAATACCAGATAGATGTTTTCTTGTGCTTTATTGACTGTGCAAATACATTTGACTATGTACATAGTATTGTGAGTTAAAGTTATTCCAGAACACTTAATTATGCTCATGAATAACCTGTACATAGACCAAGAGGCATCATTCGAACAGAACAAGAGAATACTGAATGTTTTAAAATCAGTAAAGGTCTGTGTCAAGGTTATATCCTTTCACCATACTTAAATCAGTCTACATACTGAGTAAATAATTTGAGAAGCTGAATTTGATTCAGTAGTGAGTAATTGTTATCATGACTAATTGCAGTGGCCACAACTTTAAAGGTAGAAGTTGTGTAACAAAAAAGGGGAATTAGAGGACTAGAGCGGAGAGTGAAGTGTCCAGCTGATAAGAAGAGAGGGCATATGCATAAGAACACCCACACTTGCAGATAATACCCACTGGTCCTGGCTTTAATGACTGGATGATCAGAGCTCAACCAGAAGTAAAAAGAAGAGGG